CAAAATAATTACAAAATTTATTTTGAATCTTACTTGATAGAATAGCTCATAAAAATGTACATTCCGACAATTATTAATTTCTTTATTTAAATTTAAAATATATTATGACAGAATTCTGTGAAATTATCAAATATGTCAGTCATGAATGCATATTAAAAACCGTTGATATTTCCAATATTCACTATAGTATACATGTTTCAGTGTTACTTATGAAAGAAGTACACTTTATTATTTGAAAAATATATTAATTTACCCATCTATTATTGATTTTTAATTAATAATACTTAAAACTATATTAGTAGCAGAATTTTTACTGCCGCATGTTAGTATTATTGCGATTTTTAAATACGTTTACTGCGCAACGCATACTAAACATAACCTCTTTTTTGACAACCAGCGCGCTATGCGACATCTGATTTTCTGCAATAATGCTCGCACAATAATTGGTGTTTCCTTCATAAATGTCACACAATATTACTCGCGAGTCAACAATAATACATGTGTTGACAATTAGTTTTTAATTTACTTTTTTAAATACAAATAAGTAACGAAATTTGATTGAGTTTAATTGTTTGGAAAATATAATGATTAAACTTTAATTTGTAAATGAAAAAACTGCATTTCATTTTTTCGTAAACTTAGACGAGCTTTGCAAAGTTAACCTACACTAAAAATTCGCAGAAATACCCACACTTACCCTACCAAGTTTAATTAAAATCAAACAATTTTTTAAAATTCATCCGCCATATTGGATCCGCCATTTTGAAGTTTTTAAATCTGACCTTAGATTCGTAATTAGCGACCTCAAAAACCCCCGATTATAAATTTTCAAGAAATTTGGATGAATTTTTGAAAAACTTATCCCCCATATTGGATCCGCCATTTTGGATTTTTTTAATCTGGCTTCAGATTCTTAATCAGCAACCCCAAAAACCCTTGAGATACCAAGTTTCATTAAAATCAAACAATATTTTTAAGAGAAGTATGTATTTGCAACTTTTATTTTGTGACCTACACTCGACTCTTGTTATAACGAATCTCGTTACAACGTTCTCTCGTTATAACGAACATTAAAACTCTCGATACAACGACAAAAAAAACACGAACGAATTTAAGAATTTAATGTAACCAAAATTTTGGTTAACTCTAAAAAAATGACAAAGTTAATCAACCCTTAACTTTATTTAACCTAAAGAATCTAGTGATCCGATTATTTTTAAAAATACTTACTTTTTCTTTAAACTGATTTCATAATTCAGAAACTTTTAATATAAATAAACATACTTTACGAAAACTTTTACACGTATTTGACGTTTTCTATTGTTAACCCATTAAGAACGAGACGGACGAAAAATTCCAATTGACTTTGAGGACCTCGTTTTTTATTAAAATGCATATAAAAAATTTGCACATACATTTTTTAATGTAAAATTTACTCCTCTTTCAGATTCTACTGTTAAAATTTGTTTATACCAAATTGTTAAAAAGTTATAAATTACTACCTAAAAAAGGCATGAATTCAAGGCACGGGGAAAAGCCTTGTTTTTTCACTCAGTGTAAGAATCCATCCTTAAACCGCACACTGGGTGTGCGACACCCGGGGACTTTACTGTGTGTTCTCTAAGCTAAAATAGGATATTATCTTTTATAAAAATTATTTATTGTAGCTCAGTACATCTATTTTAAAGAAAAATAGGTTTCACAATAATTTATTTAATCTTAATATCTACAAAAAAATTTCTTAAACTACTAAAATTACCTTAAACCGATAACTGGGCGTCAGCCACATAGGAATTTTTCGCCGTCAACTTCATAAAGTTGTCAAATACACAAAGACACTTGAGAGAATAATGTAACTCACGGAACATAAAGTTATGTACAAAATGTACCGTCCAATAGCGATACATTTTCAATTTTTACGAATTTAAACGAGATATTAGAGTAAAAAGCTAGAATATGAGTGTCGCACACCCAGGGTGCGCTTTAATGGTTAAATTTTTAAAAACTGACATCATATTCGTAATCAGCGCCTCCAAAAAATCCCCGAGTAGAAAGTTTCAGGTGAATCCAAATTTTTTTTACAAAACTGATCCGCCATTTTGAATTTTTGAAAACTGACATCATATTCGTAATCAGCGACCTCAAGAACCCCCGAGTAGAGAGTTTAAGGTGAATCTAATTAATTTTTACAAAACTCGTCCGCCATATTGGATACGCCATTTTGTATTTTTGAAAACTGACATCATATTCGTAATCAGCAACCTCAAAAACCCCCGAGTAGAGAGTTTCAGGTGAATCTAATTAATTTTTACAAAACTAGTCCGCCATATTAAATCCGCCATTTTGAATTTTTGAAAACTGACATCATTTTCGTAATCAGCGACCCCAAGAACTCATGAGTAAAGAGTTTCAGGTGAATGCAATTAATTTTTACATAACTTGTCCGCCATATTGGATCCGCCATTTGAATTTTTGAAAAATGACATCATATTTGTAATCTGCGACCCCAAGAACCCTCGGGTAAAGTCTTTCAGGCGATTTCAGTAACTTGAAAAAGTGAGAGTACTATGTATCATATGTGAGCCATTTTTTTAGTTTTAGCCGCCATATTAGCGTCCGCCATTTTGAAAAAAATGATCGCTTTAGGGTTTTGTAGCTAAGGGTCCATGGACGCGATATTTTTAGTTTTTGAGAGTATCTACCTACTTTTTCCTGTTGAAAATACGTCTGAAATAAAATTTCTCTCTCGAAGAATCGTGTTTTTTTGGAAAAAATTGTTTATAACTTTTTAACAATTTGGTATAAACAAATTTTAACAGCAGAATCTGAAAGATGAGTAAATTTTACATTAAAAATGGTATGTGCCAATTTTTTTATATGCATTTTAATAAAAAACGAGGTCCTCAAGTTCAATTGAAATTTTTCGTCCGTCTGGTCCTTAATGGGTTAATTACGGATAAATTCATGCGTTTGAATAGAACGTGAAGTAGGATCGTCTCCTTCCGTCGTAATATCGAGATTTTGAAGTCCCGAGATCGTCGTTATAACGAGAATCGAGTGTATCCTCTACTGTTTATAACAAATATTTAATACTTTGTTTATTAAAAAATACTTTAATTGGAAACTTTATTATGTATGTATCATGAACTATAAACCTTGCACTGTAAGCTGCACTTTGTCTCATGTGTTAAAGTTAATTTGTTTAAAAGTTATGAGAAAAAATATTTGGACGAGTATACTCGTCCTCGCGCATTTGGTAATAACTTACAATTAGTTTGGACAAGTATACTCGTCACGGTACACAGGAAGGTTAATAAAAATGTCACTGAATATAGATAATATATTCAAAATATAAGTAAAAAAATGTTGATATTTTTCACATTAACGTCGGACTAGTGAGATCCTAAAAATATCCTACAAATAACATTTGGATATACTAGGATGTCATGTGGATATCCTAAGAGACCCTGTGTATTTTTTGTAATATCCTAAATTTATTTAGGACATTCTAAAAATATCCTCAGGATATCCTTTTGTTGTAAGGGTGTGTTTCAAGATATCGATTTAACATCAACTTCTCAAGTTGTTAATTTTTCTGAACAGGATAATCATAAATCTATTAGTTTTCAATAAATAATTGTTGTCTAGTCTTTTAAACGACCAGATTTACAACAAAGTATCTGCCGACTTTCAGCATACTGTCTGCAGACAGGAGTCTGCTTAAAGTCTGCGGAATGTCTGCCGGTTTTTTTTACTTGGGCCGATATTCCTAATTTTTTCTAATGACACTATAATATTTGGAAGAGACTTCTCGAGTTCGATTTTCAAATTTATATTTGTTTATGATTTTTTTTATTGCAAAGCTTAAAAAAAGTGTCAATTTTAAGGGAAAATTATCTCCAGTTGTTAAAATTGAATGCCACAGGCAAAAGACTACTTTAAAATACACCTACAGTACTTCCTAAACTGTCAAAAAATTGAACTGGTAAAAATTTGAAGGTTATAAATAAATAATGTTAATAAATAATTCAAGTTACAAGAAATTATTATTAATGCCAATGTCAGCATAGGCTGTAATAAATTTTGATGAAATTCTTTACTCGGGGATTTTTAGGGGCGCTAAGTACAAATCCGGCATTAGTTTTTCAGAAATCCAATATGGCGCTTTTTTAATAAAAAATTCATCGAATTTTCATTAAATTTATTACTCGGGGGTTTTTGGGGTCGCTGAATACGAATCCCGTGTTGGTTTTTAAAAAAATGCAATGTGGCAGAACCAATATGGCACACATTTTTCAAAAATTTATCGAATTTTCTTAAAATTTATTACCCGGGGGTTTCTGGGGTCCGGTCCCTGATTACGAATCCGGTGTTGGTTTTTGAAAAATTCAATGTGACGGATGCACTATGGCAATCCGTTTTTTTAAAAACTCATCGAATTAGATTGAGATTAGATTGAATGAATGGTGTCACCTCAAGTGACAAATTACAAGCAAATTGGATGAATTTTTAAAAATGTATCACATTGAATTTTGAAAAATTAACCTCATATTTGTAGTCAGCGACGTTAACAAACCCCGGGTTTTAGAAAAACCAACACCATATTCATAATCAATGACCTTAACAACCTCCGATTAATAAGTTTAAATCAAATTCGATGAATTTTGGAAAAAGTTTGTGCCACATTGGATCCGCCATATTGAATTTTTAAAAACTAACACACTTTTTTTGCCACGAAAAAGTAAAAGAATGTTTTTTTTACCTTTTATACGTCTTCTAAAAATCGGAAAAATTAATTTATTAAAAACTAACACCGTATTTATAATCAGCGACCAAAACCAAAATACACAAATTGAATATACCTAATTATGTTTGTAAACATTCCATTAATATTGAGCAAACACGAAATGAAACACTATTAAGGAATGATTTACACACAATATTTTTGACATATATTCTGTTTTGAAAACATTTTAAAAAATACAATTATTATTTTACAGCACATGTCAAATAAACTGATGCCTCAACGGTATTCTGATCTTCATTCCTCTTCCTCAACAATGCAGCAGTATTTAGTCGGTGATAAGAGATTACTTGTTAAAATTGTTAAAGCAACTGATTTAGGAGGTAATCAAGGCTGTAAAGAACCTTATTGTGTTGTTGAATTGGATGATCCACCACAAAAAAACCAAACTTCTATAAAAAAGGATACGATTAATCCTCTTTGGGATGAGGCCTTCCTATTGTGAGTATATTACTTCTTTTATGTTTTCTCTGATTTTTCCAATATAAAGAATTACTCATTTAATATAACATTATAAAATTATAATCACAGAACTGTGACAAATAATTGAAGAACATGTTCTGTAACCGGTGACTCACTGGGTACGCAAAATGTCGTAGTCAGGGGGATGTCACAGTTAAGTAAAAGATCTGAAATATGGTGACAAAGCTACTTGTAACAGTTCCAGAACAGTTACAAATATCGGTTACTCATATCGGTCGAAAATATTGTTTGTAAATCATGTTCGAATAGCGTTTTAAAGTGTTTTTCAGTTTCACTTGAATATTTGTAAACATAAAACAGCCCCACAAAAAAGTACCCGGATCTGGGTGCAAGACACACATATTTCTATGTATTTTGATGCGCTGAATCCGAATCTACCATCAGATTTAGCCATACGGCACAGTGGTGTGAATCTGCAATTTACTGTTCAAAAAAGTGTACAGCTCACAGATTTTGTCGAAATCTCGCAAATTTTTTTTAAACACCCAGAAATAAATTTGTAAGAAACTTAAGGAAGCACTTTTTTGAATTTTGAATTTTTATTATTATTATTTTAATGCAAATAACAAATTAATGATGACTTTAATAGGTCGCTTGTTTATAGTAGAACAAATATATCACTTCTTCGACAACTGATAAACATCTTGTACATAAATATTGTTCAAAAAATATTATTCAATATTGCTACAAACAAATTAAATTAACAAATGAACTGTTCATTTGTTTATATTCGAAATGACATAGTTTTTTTTATTCGTTTTAAAATTATGTTACAAATAATATTTTTTATAAATTTATTATATAACTTATCATTTATTAATGTTATAAACAATTTAAGTTAATTTAATTTATTTCATAACATATAACTTATTAATGTTATAAACAAATGATTACTTATGAAAAATATCTATAAAAAATATTGTTGGAAACATAATTTTAAATAACTCAACCAAATACTTTTTAAAAATTTTAAAAAAGTAGTATAGCTAGGCCGGTTCTGGATAAAATCGGTAATGTAGATTCTTACTTACCGACCGCGAGGATAAGTTACCGACCGTTAGTGGGGTATATGTGGGTAATTTACCGGCCGTTGGTGGGGTACATCATTTGCATATATTTAAATTAGTTAACCCTTTTAATTGACGTTAGTGGGGTACTTGATTTGCATATATTCAAATTAGTTAACCCTTTTAATTTGCATATATTTAAATATGTGGTAAAGTTACTTATTATATATTTAATAATTAATAAAAATAATAATAATAATAATAATAATAATAATAATAATTAATTTATTTTATTAATTATTATATATTAGCGTTGGATATAGAATATGCAAATACCACCCACCCTCTTCTATTGCTCTTAGTTAACCACCCCCCTCCCTCCCACCCACTTTTTTTTCTATTATATACATATTTCCAATACTACCACTCACCACCACCCACTTAGTATAAACCAGAAATTTCAAAAATCATATAGAGAAGCGCGAGGGACTAAGCGTTCGCGAGATACCGCGCAGGCGTTGTGGGTAGTGGGAGTGGGTGGTGGTGGGTGGTGTGGTAAGGCCCAGTGCGCAGCAATAGTGCGCGTACGGTTACCGCGTTGAGTGAGTGAAAGTTCCATGCGTCAGACCTGTCTGTCTGACTCTCACAGCTTGCTTCACTAATACTATAACACCATAGGGATAAAAATGTATTGTCCAAAAATATGTAAGCAAGTTTCAACTTGCCTCTTTTCAAGATAACAATAGTATTGTTTGAAAATTTTAAAGCATGTTTCAACCTGCATCTTGAATAGAATAAAGACATTGTCTAAAAAACCTTCAGGCAGGTTTTAACCTGACTGTAGATGAGAACAAAGGCATTCCTTAAAAACCCTTTTAGTGACGTCATTTTATGCGAGTTTGAACACGTCTTCTAAATGACTCTTCATTTGAGGTAGTTGCGTGCGCAGTCGTTAAAGTGGGAGTTGAAGAAGAAGAGTAGGGGTTTAAGGGATATAAGGTAGGTTGGAAGCAACGATTCGACACTTCTATTAAAATTTCCAGCAGTAGCAGCAACAGTATTAGCAGTATCAGCAGTACCAGCAGCTTCAGCATCTACAGCAGCATTAGCAGTACTAGCAGCTTCAACAACTACAGCATCATCTTCTCATTTGATAGGTAAATTTCATTTCTTTAATAAAAACATTTTGTATTCCAAATTAGTTTTTTAAATTTAATATTAAAAAGTCCATCTTTTTTTCTTTGCTTACAGATATTAAAACAATGGACTTCCAAAAAGTCAACGCCACTGGTCGCATGGAGAGATTTCTACCAACGAAGCCGCTTTCTGAATTGACTGTGAATGAGTTATACAACGTAACTAAAATAAACAAGGTGCAGACGAAATATGGTTCTAGGATTGTAGTAGACCTGGATGCTACATTTACCACTTTTCTACCGGCAAGGTTTTCAAAACTATTTGAAGATGACCCTACCTCCTTCACAATGATGGAAGAAGCCGTGCAATTGGACAAGTTGCGATTAAAGAATATTGGTGGTAAATTTAATGTTATTGAATTTGAATAAAATATATATTCAAAGGTTATATTGTAAAAAATTATGTAAATATAATTTAAAGGTTTTAAATAATAAAAAAAAATTACTTTTAAATGGATTGTTTTATTATTCTACCTTCATATTTTAAATAATTTTTAATTAATTGTATTTTATATAAAATTATATAAGTAAATTTTCATTAAAGTTAAAGGAAAAAAAATGTTTCAAGTATATAATATTAAAGGAGTAGGTATATCAAGAAAGAAAGAAAGACAACATTTTTTAAAATTATAAAATTCATTTATTCATATGTATGTAGAAAATTAAACTTATTACAATAATGTTTCATAATTTTCATAAAATGATTTTAAATTAGTATTCACATCATCATCATCCACTTCGTCGATACCATTTGAGAAGTTTCTCAGTTCACTCGTTACATTTAAAAACCAATTTCGAAGCTTAAATATATTGTTTACTGCACAATTTTCAGTTTGTGTAATATGATGAGTACATGTAGGTGATAAAAATTCAGTTTTAATATTCTTTAACGCTGGACAGTCAATTTCTTCTAAATTGTATACATTCATTATATACTTTTCTAACCATTGTTTTTTTCACAACCGTTAACATAGATAGTTTTTGCTCCTCGTAATGCATATTGTAAAATTGTTCGCACTTCATCATAACACACATCTCCAACCATCCAAGGGATTGAATGATAGTTATTTGTTAACCACAGGTTTTCACTTTTATAACGTCCAGGTAGAGAATTCCAAGCACAAGGTGGTTCAAAGAGGTAAACTCTTGGTTGAGCATCTGCCTCCAGAGGAACTATAGCCAACTCTTTGAAAATAAACTCATTGCAGGGTTTTTTAAAACCTTGAACGTCTACTATGAACTCCATTTTAGAATAGAAATGAGTATCCGCTTCAGAAATATGTCTTACATACCTTTCCACTTCATCCTCCCACCACTTTGTTTCCCTCTCCACTTCTTATAACTTATTAATAATCCCAATGATTGGTTCGTACTATACTACACGGTCATGTATAACAAGGCAATATGAAGTTGATTCTTCAGGCAACGTCATTATTCACGTAAAGATCAGTGAATATTTGCATGAAGACTTCCACTGTCACAAGAATACATCTTATTAAGTTTAAAAATATTAATGTAAAAATGTTATATATATATAACGTTTCTTAAAGTTGACTTGAATTTTCTACAAAGTAAATTCAACTTTTCCAAATGTTAACTTTAATACTCTGTCTACTAATGTGACAGTTACCATCTAAAATCTTCTACTTGAGTTGTTGGAAAGAAATTGACTAATGACACTTTTGCATCTACAGTTCATGCTTATACAAAATTCATTAAAAACGGTTACAGTCATAAGCTTCTGCACTAGCAGTCTGGCATTCTGACTCAGTGAATTAATCACATGATTTCAGCCACATTGTGAAGCTTTACTAGATTTGATAGATGTTTAACTTCTTCAAATGTTAGCTTTAACTTTTCCAAATGTTAGCTTTAACTTTTATAAAAGTTAAATATAACTTTTCCAGTAGTTAACTTTAACTTCCTAAAAGTTAATCTTAACTTTTTCAATAATGCACAGAGAAAAATGGAGTATTCAACAAACTATCTGGAGGAACAAACAGACTATATTTGAGGTTAAATGTTTTGTAACCATCTCGGAGGGATAAATAGATACTTTAATGATTAAGTTGACTATCTCAGAGGAAAAAGTTAACTATCTAGAGAATCAGGCTAACACTTAAAACTTAACCCTATAAATTTTGCTATCCAGTTTTCTCAGTGTGAAGGAGCAGAGAGAATTCCTTGTAAACAACATATATACACGGAAAAAAATTCTTGTGAAATTTACAGGATTTCCTACGCCATCTATGAGCCACGGTTGTAGTATCCACAAACGGCTGAGTTTGGGGAATACACAAACCAAACTGTGTGTGTGTGTGTGTCACAAACTGCAACAGACGAACTGTAGGATTTCTTGGTGCTATTGGGATCTGAAATACTACGATACGCCATCTAGTGAGAGCCTTGTTGTGGTAGCCATCTTTCGTTTCGTCTCTTTCTGATATACGTTCAAGAAAAAGATAAAATCCAAGATGGTTGCCACAAAAAGGCTAAGGGGTGGGTCAGTTTCACGTGATTTCAGATCCCAATTACAGATTGATTTGTGCTACACCCAAACCAGCTTGTTGGAAACACTACACTGAAAGAAGTGCTTTGACATTATCAACAATAAAAGTTTGGTTAGGAAATTCTTAGTAACTTGAAAATAAGGTTCTTTTATTTTAGCGAAACGCATCATAATAACAATAAACACAATTTTGAAAAACATAAGTACTACTTTGGCTGAAAAAGTTATTCAGAGGAAACATTTATT